GTTGAATTTGCAGTTAATACCTGAAATAGGCTAAAAGTTGAATAAGACGATGAGAACTCGGTTCATCATTGGACTTTTCTACTCTTACCAAGATTTTTTTGTGAGCTCAATATAATCCCAAAAAACAAGTAAGCTAGAAATGAAATGCTTTGATGTTCAGCAAGTATTTCTCAATGATGATTGATCTATAGAAATTCAATTTATCATTTGAATTTGTGTTTTCCTTATTACATTTGCAAATACAAGAACAATCTTTAGTTTTTGATAATACAGGTTCGACTTTTACCATCATTTTTAAAATTAAAACAAAAAAAAAAGAACCAATAAACACAAAAGGAACGATTTCATAATTTAGTTTTTACCTGAACTAGTTGATGAAATGACTTGATTAACTTGTTCAAAAATATTTTGTATTTCATCAATTGAACTATTTGGTACATCAAGAAATCTTTTTGCTTGTTCAATCAAATTTTGTTCGCCTTCAATTGTCAATAGTTTTTTTGGTTCAACAATTAGTGCAAATGTTGCTATAACAGTATTTAATTCATCACGAACATTATCTAATCGTCGTTTATTTTGTTTTGTTATTTCAACTGTTCAATTGAATGATGTAAACAAACAAGACGTAGATTACAATAACATTCATATAATTCTTTAATTGCATCGTCACATGTTATATCAGTACATGAACTCATGTCGAACATTTCTAAAAAAACAAAGATTTTTTTATATGTGTAATATTCACTGAGATATGATCCTTATCACTATGGATGAAATGTTTAAAATAATGAACAAACTTTCGACTACTAGCTTGTGGATATAGATGGTCCATTGTATGATTTCCTTAACGAAATTAATTGATGAAAGAGAATTTTAAAGAATGTAAAAATTCAGAATTTTAGCCTTCTTTAAAACACTGTTCAACAAATACGAAAGTATGATTAAAAATATACTCAAAGAGTTCGAATACAAATATCCTACTATTTCTGATTTTTTTTTCTGAAAAATTTAATTGCATTAAATTAAATAACGCCTTAAAAGAAGAATCAAATTTTGCTCTACTATATTGAATATTTATCAAGCTTGTCTGGTTTATTGTTTCTT